CATAAAAGAAAAATCTAAATTATCACAAGATAAGTTAAGTGGTTGTTATTATCGTGTACCAAAAAACAAACAAATTACATGTATATAATAAATTGATAATTGATCGTGCATTTTTTTTTAAAAATCTCATGTGTGTGCAATTCAAATCGTCATGAAGAATTAATCGTCTACATTTTAAATTTTATTTATATTACACATAAAAATTATTTGAATTCATTTTAAATCTTTTACTATAAAAATTAGTCAAAACTACCTTGCATAAAACAAAATTTTATTGACATACTTCATCTTAGTTGAATATAAATTAATTTTAAATATCTTAATTATATGATGTTGAGTGCTGACCAAAAAAATTCTTAAATCTGATTTACAACAATTAAATCCAATAACACATTTTGAACAGATCATTTCAGTTGATCTATTGGATAACAACCAGATATACGTGAATTTATATTCAATAAAAAGCTATATGATTGAATTAATAACATCCCATAAAATGTATAATTAAGTTCTTATAAACTACATTCAATGAAAATCTGGGGGGAAGAGATGATATTGTACTGATCAACAAGGAAAGGTATATATTGTTACAAGGATTAGGTCAAAGCAAGAGCTTGGGGAATAAGGAAAGGATAATTAATTATAATATGAAGATATGATCTCTCTTATACAATCATATCTTAATAGTGAAAATTTTCAAAATTACTTTTTGATTAGTGTGTTGCTAAAATAAATTATGAGTAATTTTTTTAAAGAAAAAACATAAATCTGAATAACAATTTGAGAGAACATATTTAACCAGACATAGTCAGTGTGGCTATGAACAAAACCATAATTCGTTTGTTTCTCCCTTGACCATTACTCATAATCTTAATATACAAATGGAATTTGAAAGATCAACTTGCATGGCAATCCTCGTTCTTTTGATAATATTCGTTGTTCCTTCGCCGTCCTCGGCCATGGATCTTCCGGAGAGTGGCCACCGGAGCCACGAGGAGGTGAGCTTCATTAATTTTCCAAACGTGGATGTCTAAGCAAGGGAAAGTTTATACCAATGGTCTCAGAGCGAAGGAACAACGTTTTCAGATATTTAAGGACAATCTTCATTTTATCGACCAACACAACGCCAAGAACCTTGGTTACAAGCTCGGTTTGACACGGTTTGCTGACTTAACCGTCCAAGAGTACCGAGACCTTTTCTCTCTAGGCCCTAAACCGAAACAAAGGGATCTCAAAATCAGTCGTAGGTACGTGCCACTTGCGGGAGATGAGCTCCCTGACTCCGTTGACTGGAGAAATGAAGGTGCAGTGTCGGAGATTAAAGACCAAGGCATATGCAGTGAGTATTTTTTACTTTTCTTCACATTCATACTCAAATAATCTTACGGTGATTTAGGCCCGTTTTGAATTTTTTTTTTTAAATCAAGAAATTCATGTCTTTTGGTCCATAATCTTTTCGGAGCATGAATTAAAACATGTTACTGTACTTTTAGTTCCTTAACATCGAGATTAAATTTCCTGCCTTTAAACCTCACTCTCTTTGGAAGACCTCTTAGTACACGAGTGATTGTCCGAATGTTTTCTAATGTGCTGATTTTATATTACATTAATTGTGTAATATTTTACTATTTTTCTAATACATTAATTTTTTCATATTTTAAATAAAAGATAGCTGCTGGGCATTCTCGTCAGTGGCAGCTGTGGAGGGAATAAGCAAGATTGTGACAGGAGAGTTAATCTCATTGTCGGAGCAAGAATTGGTCGACTGCAACACGGAGAACAACGGTTGTTATGGAGGAGGCTTAATGGACAAAGCTTTCAATTTCCTTATCAATAACAATGGTCTTGATTCCCAAATGGATTATCCATACAATGGTGTTCAAGGCTACTGTAACGACATAGAGGTTCACCCTACTAGCACTACTGCCCTAATTAAAC